ACTCCAAAAAATTGCATACTCAGGCCTCCGTTTTAAATTTTCTAAAAAATTATTTTAATAAAATTTAATTTTTTTTATTATAATCATTCTCTGCTTTCTGAAGAATTTCGTTTTAATTCTCTATCTTAATTATTGACTAAGTTAGATAAAATTCCTTTATTTATTACTGATTTACATTATTATTATTATTATTATTATTATTATTCATTAATAATTAAAAAAAACAGAAAATAAAAATAACAAGCATAAATCATCATTACAGTGTCCTTCAGTGCAATCAAAGACTCCTCAAATTACCTGAGTCCGTAATCCATAGAGCAATAACTTGTAATGACTAGAATTTAAAAGGAGCAATACAACAAATTTTCCCTGAATCTGAAGTATCCCTTAGTTTTCACCATTTTCTATTACAGCTGTTTCGAAAAATGAAAACTTTTGAATTAGTCGGATATTTTAGAGACGAGGATAATGATATCAAAAAAACTTTTTTTTTTATTTTCGCACTGCCATTATTACCGGCTCGACAAATTCAAGAGGCTTTTAACAGAATAAGAAATAATGCCAATTTAAATGTAGATCCTAACCTTGAACGTTTCCTAACCTACTTTGAAAGAAACAGGTTGCAAGAACCCAAGGCGCATGAATATTGCCCAATTGACATGTGACAAAAATGTCAATTAACCGAAATGCATTTAACAGACATGTCATTTGACCATAATGACATGTTACAAAAATGATATTTAACATAATTGACATTTGACATAAATGACAATTATCAATATTTTCATTTAACATAAAGGACATGTACCAAAAATGTTATATGACATAAATGACATTTATCAAAATTGTCATTTGACATAAAAGACAATTATCAAAATTGTCATTTGACATAAACGACAATTATCAAAATTGTCATTTGACATAAACGACATGTAACATAAATTTCATTTGACATAAATGACATTTATCAAACTTGTCATTTGACCTAAATATTCTTGCGCGAAATTCAAAACTGACCAATAAAAACCTATTATTAAAATTGTGATTGGTCAGTTTTGAATTTCGCGCAAGAATATTTAGGTCAAATGACAAATTTGATAAATGTCATTTATGTCAAATGACATTTATGTTACATGTCGTTTATGTCAAATGACAATTTTGATAATTGTCATTTATGTCAAATGACATTTTTGTAACATGTCATTTATGTCAAATGACAATTCTGATAAATGTTATTTATGTCAAATGACAATTTTGATAAATGTCATTTATGTCAAATGACAATTTTGATAAATGTCATTTATGTCATATAACATTTTTGGTACATGTCCTTTATGTTAAATGAAAATATTGATAATTGTCATTTATGTCAAATGTCAATTTTGATAAATGTCAATTATGTTAAATATCATTTTTGTAACATGTCCTTATGGTCAAATGACATGTCTGTTGAATGCATTTCGGTTAATTGATATTTTTGTCACATGTCAATTGGGCAATATTCATGCGCCTCCAAGAACCCAATACCTTTTAAATATTTCATAAAAATGTACGCATAACGGACAATTTTCAAATGTACGCAAGCAGATTGAAATCAATCCAATTTAGACTTTAATAAAAATCAAAATAGCACATAATATTTCCTGAATATCACGATGATATCAAACTGGAATATTCCTGGGACATTCATATCAAAATAGTGAGGTAATATACCCATGATATTAAGGGGATATCAATGTGATATTTCTTTCTATTGAAATTTCATTCATTTATCAATTTTCACAACAAAAGCATTTTATAAAAAAAAATTTTCTTTTGGTCTGTAAACTTTAAAATTGATGGTTGCATTGCAGTCCCACATTTATATAGACCACAATTTTGTTACAGATATTAATATAGTGGAATTTTAAATATTCCTTGTCATGATATATACTTCGGAATAAGAATATCCAAACTTAATATCAATTTCTACTGGATTCTCACAATAATATTCAATGTCATTATCGTTGAATAATCGAAATTGAACACATTCTTCATTTCTAAAGTGTTATGAGTCCATTTAAATTTTTCTTTGTTGCTGTTCCATAATCCATTTTCAATTTGGAATGCCTTCTGTTTTAAATGAGTTTGATGTATAATTAGAATTTTTATTGTAATTCTCTACTAAAAGTCAGTTTTTGCTATTTATTTTACGATTGACTACTTTTTTCAGCATTCTTTTTCTAAAACCAACTTATAATTTTAGAATTCATTTTTATTTATTTCTTCTCTTTTGAAATTCCTAAAGTTTACTAACTTTCATAAAAACCCAAATAGCACATAATATTTCCTGAATATCACGATGATATCAAACTGGAATATTCCTGTGACATTCGTATCAAATAGTGAGGTAATATACCCATGATATTAAAGGGATATCAATGTGATATTTCTTTCTATTGAAATTCCATTCATTTATCAATTTTCACAACAAAAGCATTTTATAAAAAAAAAATTTTCCTTTGGTCTGTAAACTTTAAAATTGATGGTTGCATTGCAGTACCACATTTATATAGACCACAATTTTGTTACAGATATTAACGTAGTGGAATTTTAAATATTCCTTGTCATGATATATACTTCGGAATAAGAATATCCAAACTTAATATCAATTTCTACTGGATTCTCACAATAATATTCAATGTCATTATCGTTGAATAATCGAAATTAAACACATTCTTCATTTCTAAAGTGTTATGAGTCCATTTAAATTTTTCTTTGTTGCTGTTCCATAATCCATTTTCAATTTGGAATGCCTTCTGTTTTAAATGAGTTTGATGTATAATTAGAATTTTTATTGTAATTCTCTACTAAAAGTCAGTTTTTGCTATTTATTTTACGATTGACTACTTTTTTCAGCATTCTTTTTCTAAAACCAACTTATAATTTTAGAATTCATTTTTATTTATTTCTTCTCTTTTGAAATTCCTAAAGTTTACTAACTTTCATAAAAACCCAAATAGCACATAATATTTCCTGAATATCACGATGATATCAAACTGGAATATTCCTGTGACATTCGTATCAAATAGTGAGGTAATATACCCATGATATTAAAGGGATATCAATGTGATATTTCTTTCTATTGAAATTCCATTCATTTATCAATTTTCACAACAAAAGCATTTTATAAAAAAAAAATTTTCCTTTGGTCTGTAAACTTTAAAATTGATGGTTGCATTGCAGTACCACATTTATATAGACCACAATTTTGTTACAGATATTAACGTAGTGGAATTTTAAATATTCCTTGTCATGATATATACTTCGGAATAAGAATATCCAAACTTAATATCAATTTCTACTGGATTCTCACAATAATATTCAATGTCATTATCGTTGAATAATCGAAATTAAACACATTCTTCATTTCTAAAGTGTTATGAGTCCATTTAAATTTTTCTTTGTTGCTGTTCCATAATCCATTTTCAATTTGGAATGCCTTCTGTTTTAAATGAGTTTGATGTATAATTAGAATTTTTATTGTAATTCTCTACTAAAAGTCAGTTTTTGCTATTTATTTTACGATTGACTACTTTTTTCAGCATTCTTTTTCTAAAACCAACTTATAATTTTAGAATTCATTTTTATTTATTTCTTCTCTTTTGAAATTCCTAAAGTTTACTAACTTTCATAAAAACCCAAATAGCACATAATATTTCCTGAATATCACGATGATATCAAACTGGAATATTCCTACACTGAAAAAAGAATATTCTTATTTTAAGAATATTCTACTTGAAGTAAGAATATTCCCCACTTAAATAGGCGTCAAGAAGATTTTCTTAATATAAGTGGGGAATGTACTTAAACTAAGAATATATTCTAAGAATCTTTAACGAGAATATATTCTTAATCTATTAAGACGTTCTTCTTATATTTAGAATATATTCTTAAATTAATAAGAATATATTCTTAGATTAATAAGAATATAATATTCTTGGGTTTCTGGGAATAATAGTTTTCATTTATATTTTAAATTATCATTTTTCAATAAATAATGAACAGTTTATTTCTATGTTGTACAGAAGAGTTTTTATTTTGTTAAAAAATTAGTAACATTATATCGAATAAATTACATTACTTTATGAAACAAATTTGCGATTTGCAATGACGAAGATTAAAAAGTATATTCAGTCTTTTTGAACTAATAATTAACATTTTTTTAATAAAAATATATTATAATTTATAAAATTTGCAAATTGCAATTTCGAAGATACATTTTCGAAATGCAAGGAAAAAAACTGTCACTAAGAATTCTAACCTCAAAATCTGTAATTTTACCGTTCTGAGTGCAGTAAAATTACAGAATTTTGTAACGAGATTTGTCACAAAATAATGTAATTATACTATTAACACTGCAAAATTCAGAACATATTTTTACAGTGTACAATAAATTTTGAAACCTAACCTAAATTCAGAAACCACGATAAAACAGAATAAAATTAGTTGATAACTGCATGTATACTTACGATCAAAGACTTCAATTAAATCCTCCAGTTCGTTGATCTTCAACCATTCGGTCACAGGATTCATTTTGCATAAAAAAACGCGAAAAACCAACTAAATAAACATTAAAACTCCTCGAGCACACACTGCGAATGAAATACAACGACGCTTTATGGCGACCCGCGGCGGCTACTGCTCGCACTATAAGAACATATTCTTATCTTGCTTAGAAGATATTCTTAAAATAAGAAAATTTCTTTTTTCGATAAGAATATAATTTAGAATATTTTTTTAAGAATATAATATTCTTAAAATTAGAATACACTTTTTTCAGTGTATGACATTCGTATCAAATAGTGAGGTAATATACCCATCATATTAAGGGGATATCAATGTGATATTTCTTTCTATTAAAATTCCATTCATTTATCAATTTTTACAACAAAAGCATTTTATAAAAAAAAAATTTCGTCTTTGTTTTCTATACTTTAAAATTGATGTTTGCATTTCAGTCCCGCATTTATATAGACCACGAGCGTACTGTAGGTGATCAATTAGAGAAAGTAGTCCAATCATCCAATATTTATTCAAAAACGAAATTGAAAGAATTGAAAACCTATTGGTCTGATTTAGCTGATGGAAAAATCACAATTTTAGAATTTTTAAAATTGATGAGTATATATATTATTAAATATAAAGGCATGTATTATCTTAATATTATTTTCATATTACAATGTAATATCACCTCAATATTACTTGTAACATTACCCCAATATTACCTTTGATATTATCATGAGGAGGACATTTGAACCTTAATGCTATATTACACTCTATTTTTATAAATCTTTCATGTAATATTACTGTGATATTAAGGCAATATTACTACGTCCAGTTTGGATTTTAAGCAAATATAAATGTTAAAAATTTTACTATCTAAATTACATCTGTTCTGTTTTATTAGATTTTTACAGCTGTAAAACTTACCTGTTTTTTCGTACAATTCAATTTGAAAAGTAAATTTTTATTAAAAATTTGCATTTTGAACAATATTGTTTAATAATATTGTAATTTACTCAAAAAAAACGCATGAGCATCTCTAAGTTTTATATATTCTTTTTAAAATAATTAAAATAAAATTCACCTTTTTTATTGTAATCATCCTGTGCTTTCTAAAGAATTTTGATTTACATCTCTATCTTGATTATTGACTAAGTTAGTCAAAACGTGGATCAAAAAGACGAACCTGCAAATGTGGCACAAATAAACGAAGACCAATGGGCATCAAATTGAAAAAATCGAAATCAAATATGCTGCGAATGCAAAGTAAATCAAGTGACACACACTTTTGTCCCTTGTAGGCAGTGTTTTCTCTGAAAACAATAAAATTACCCACAAAACATCCACCCCCACAGCACCGAAACTTTCCTAAACATTTATTTCAAATGTTTGAAATATTTAATTGCAAAATTTATAATTATAATTATGCGAAAATTTCATGTTAATTTTCAGGTTAGTTTCACACTAAACATTTATTTAATCGGGACATTTAAATCTTTACACAATTTTCACTAAACTTTGCAATTGAAAATTCCGAGCATTTAAAATAAATCTTTAGGAAGGTTTCGGTGCTGTGGGGTCAAATTATATGGTTTTTAGAGAAAACACTGTCAGATAAATTTAATTCTTTTTCTCATAAAATATTAAGTACACGCTGCCAGCAGAAAATGTTGGTAAGGTGAATTTGAGTGCCATAAAAATATATCTGTCTTGAAACTAAACTAAAATAATCAATAATTAAGATAGAAACTTGAAACAAAATTAATTTAATTCATTATGAAATTGCAAATAAAATAATGTAAAGTTAAATATTATTTTGACCACATTACAACAATTTTGACTAAAAATTTTCATAATCTTGCCCCTTTGGCAATTCACGAATCCATTATACAAAGTATATATAAAGAGTCGTATGTACTTCTTTTTACAGTCGAATGGTATCTCTTGATGAATATATACATATTATAAATAATCTTCTATATAGACGATACCCTGTGCCTAGATTTTAATGCATCCGGCGACATAAGAAGCATATGTGAAATCCTTTTATGAATTAAAAAGACAATTTTCTGCATTCATAATGCTGCTTCATATAGCCTCTTGTGTTTGTCGAACCGGTAATAATTATTTTTAATTTTTTTTTTTTTTTTTAATTTGAATCTTAACATTCAACGTTTCCTGCCCTACATTGAAACAAACTGGTTGCAAGAACCTATTACCTTTTCAGTATTCCTAAAATTTGTACGTATAATGGATAACTATCAAATGTACACCAGCAGATTGAAATCAAAAGTCGGCAAAGAAATCGAAGTTTGGAAGTTTACAAGTTTATGAAAAATTTACCAATTTTTGAATCACTTTTCTAGGCTTTATACTTTCCCACTTTTCGTACTTATCTACTAAAAGTCTCTATTTGATATTTTTATTAAATTTTATTACTGTTTTTCTACTTTTTTCAGCATTGTTTTACTAAAAGCATTTTTTAATCTTAGAACTTGTTTTTTTCAAAATACCTAAAGTTTATTTATTATTATACAAACCCAAATAGCACACAATATTTCCTGAATATTACGATGATATCAAGCGGGAATATTTCTGTGACATTCGTATTAAACCAAGGGAATATTTCCGTGATATTTCTTTCTTTTTAAATATCGTTTATTTATCAGTTTTCAGAATAAATGCATTTTATAAAAAAAATTTTCGTCTTTTTTTCTATATTTTAAAATTGATGCTTGCATTGCAGTCCCGCATTTATACAGACCACGAGCATACTGTAGATGGTCAATTAGAGAATGTAATCCAATCATCCAAAATTTATTCAAAAACGAAATTGAAAGAATTGAAAACCTATTGGGCTGATTTAGCTGATGAAAAAATCACAATTTTAGAATTTTTACAATTGATGAGTTATAATATAATTGAAAAAAGGATTGAATTCTAATATAGTTAAAAAGAAAATTCTAATTTATTCAACAATCACTAGCTGATTTTCCTACAGTCGACTTTAAGTGTCGTCACACCTTCAAAATGTGTTCTTATTTAGAAGTATATATATATATATATATATATATATATATATACAGTACCGTCCAGAAGTATCAGGACAATTACACGCGACTCTCTGAAAAAACATGCCATCACTTTTTCAATCATATTTCTGCAACAAAAGGAGATACAAAAAAACTCAAAAACGGTTAGAAAGCTTATTAAATTTTGAATAAAATAAGCCATGTTTGAAGCCATTCCGTTAATAATTTTCTGAGTTGTAGAGTGAGAAAGATGGAAAAAATATTATCAAATTTTCTAATTATGGTCTCTTGACTTCAACATTTTCAAAAATCTAGAAAAATTTAGATAAAATTTTTTTAAAAACACAGAAATCTTCGCTAGAATTTCAGCTTTAAAATAAATTTTAGAAAATTAAAAAATATCAATCCGTCATCGAATTATCATTAAAAATGTGAAGCCGTGTTACGCCCGATCGATGCTTTGAAAATCAACTGTGACGACTCGATTCCGGCTTCGCGCGGGAGCAAGCGGGAGAGAAAGCAGGGTCGGATTTATGCGGGAACGATGAAATTTCGAGTTTCTTTACATATTCGTCGTGAAAACAACGTTCCCATCGTTCCCGCATAAATCCCACCCTGCTTTCTCTCCCGCTTGCTCCCGCGCGAAGCCGGAATCGAGTCGTCACAGTTGATTTTCAAAGCATCGATCGGGCGCAACACGGCTTCACATTTTTAATGATAATTCAATGACGGATTAATATTTTTTAATTTTCTAAAATTTATTTTAAAGCTGAAATTCTAGCGAAGATTTCTGTGTTTTTAAAAAAATTTTATCTAAATTTTTCTAGATTTTTGAAAATGTTGAAGTCAAGAGACCATAATTAGAAAATTTGATAATATTTTTTCCATCTTTCTCACTCTACAACTCAGAAAATTATTAACGGAATGGCTTCAAACATGGCTTATTTTATTCAAAATTTAATAAGCTTTCTAACCGTTTTTGAGTTTTTTTGTATCTCCTTTTGTTGCAGAAATATGATTGAAAAAGTGATGGCATGTTTTTTCAGAGAGTCGCGTGTAATTGTCCTGATACTTCTGGACGGTACTGTATATATATATATATATATATCAATCAGAATTCTTATTGAACAGAATTTCTTCTGAGTCGAATTTTAAATTGACAGAATTTTCGGGTCATTCCATTTTATTTCACCTATACTCGTTGCGGACTATTTTTCGAAAAATCTGATATTTCGTAATAATGACTTTCAATATACGTACAATTTATTTTTAACAATTATTTTTATGAAATTTTTTTTTTATTTACGTTAGAATTTAGTTTTTAAGTTGAGTTGCACGGAAAATAGGTTAGTCTGACAGCTTTGAAAACTGAATAAAAAAGAACAGAAATAATTTATTTACTAAATTTTTTTTCATTGAAATTTGTTGAAAATAGTCCAATTTACCAATATTAATCGATAATTGTCTAAAAAAGGCCACAATACTAGATGAAAATAAATATTTAAACTTACCTGTAAAATGTCAAAATTTATCACATTTTATTTACATTTTCCAAGAAAGTTTACTAGTATTAAAAAATTTATTACTACATAATAGTAAGTACTTTCAATGTATTTTCACATGATATGTTGGCTTTTTAATTTTATAATGTAGAAATATGAGAAATTTTACCTTGAATATAGAACTTTTCAGGATTTCATCTTTTTATTTTTATTCAATTTCAAAAATCCACCTTAAAATACGAATTTAAAGGTTATAAAACAAGTATTTTTATAAAACTGGAGTTGGTTTTCTCAAAATAGATTTATCTGTTGAAATGAAATGAAATCCTGAAAAGTTCTACATTCAAGGTAAAATTTCTCATATTTCTACATTATAAAATTAAAGAGCCAACATATCATGTGAAAATACATTGAAAGTACTTACTATTATCTAGTAATAAATTTTATAATATTAGTAAACTTTCTTGGAAAATATAAATATTATGTGATAAATTTTGACATTTTACAGGTAAGTTTAAATATTTATTTTCACCTAGTATTGTGGTCCTTTTTACACAATTATCGATTAATATTGGTAAATTGGACTATTTTCAACAAATTTGAATGAAAAAAATTTTAGTAAATAAATTATTTCTGTTCTTTTTTATTCAGTTTTCAAAGCTGTCAGACTAACCTATTTTCCGTGCAACTCAACTTAAAAACTAAATTCCAACGTAAGTAAAAAAAAATTTCATAAAATAATTGTTAAAAATAAATTGTACGTATATTGAAAGTCATTATTACGAAATATCAGATTTTTCGAAAAATAGGCCGCAATGAGTATAGGTGAAATAAAATGGAATGACCCGAACATTAAATCAAATCTTCATTCATTGAAGATTTTGATTTTGAGACAGCTTTGCAAAATTTAATTTCTCGTTTTATTTTCCTCAAGCCAGAACCAAATACTACGGCAGGTATTATTTGACCAATGTTGGGCTGAATTGGTGGTCCTCGCATTTCGCACTTGCGTATATCTAATTATAATGTTTAGGCAATTTTCAATTTCGAGTCCGCATATTTACACACAAAATATATTATATTGTTTGAT